ATGGCCAAATACAAAATAGTAAGTATCACTAATATTTAGTACACATAAAGTACTATTTGTTTTGTTGGTAAAATGTATTTTCATTATTTTCTCAAATTATTTAGAAAATCTTGATTGTTTGACTGTTATACCCTACACTACTACGACGGTGGGGAGCTAATATTGGTAACTTTTTAAAAATTTTGGACTTTTAACAATCTCCCGGTATGTCAATCGTCTCAGAATCATTTTCTTATTAAATTTAACGATGTACATCCGTCTGTTTGTTCAAGTAAATCTCGTATTTAATCAAACTTTAGGTCTTAATTTTGAAATAAATGTATTGGAATCTAATAAACTCTAATGAATCACTATTTGATTTAAAGTTTTAGCTAAGTATATAGCTCACGAAAATCTGAAGTGTAAGTGTATCTTATAGTCGACCTTAAGCGTTAACATTTTCGAAATTTTTTCTGTTTGTCTACTTGTAACCTAAAATCGTAATTGTGTCTCTAAACAAGTATGAGTCAAAACAAAATAAACTGGGAGAAAATTTCTTTCAATCGACCGATTTTCAAACAACATACCACAAAGAAAAAAAAAAACCAACTACAATGTAAAAACCAAACAAAAAAAGCTATAAATGTAATGCGTGAGAAAAATATGTATAAAACACCTGTAGATAAAAGTTTTTTTTTACACAGAATTCTTCTCCAACTAAAACTTAATGAAATTTACTATTTATGTAGGTATGTAGGCAGTATAAAGTACTTACTACACGTATTCCATCTCCGGTATATTATAACAAACAATACAAATAAATACAAACTTAATACGTTAACTAAACAAACAATAACATAATACTTACGTTGTATACAACAATACAATATATTACATTACACCGTTTGTAATTTATAGAAAAAATATAAAGAATCAAAAATATATACAAAAAAAAAAACTTTTATTTTTTGTGTTAATAAAAATTTTCTTTTCTTAACAATTTGTGACCAGAATGCCGCACAAATTGTAATTTAACAATTCATTAAAATAATTTGTTGTTTTATTTTTTTCCACCATTAAATATTTCATTTTTGTTTTGGGGGGTTCTCTTGGCGCTGTAAATAGCAAGTTGAACAGGTAGGTTTAAGTACGGCCAGCCGGTATTAGTATTGTAGTTTGTTGTAATGTGCTACTTGTATTAGACATCTAGCAGAATAACAACAAAAACGCTATAAAGTTGTGATAAAGTTTTTTTATTATTTTTTGGGAGATTTGTTATTTTAAATTATTGTGGCAAGTTATAAAGAAGTATTAAAAAACCTACCTAAATATGTACTTTTACATAAGTTCTAAATAAATATTGCTTTTAAGAAAAATTTCATTTAAATTACTTTTCTTTTGTGGGAAAAGACCGAATTACTTGCTATTATCAAGTGATAAGAAAAGGTTCTTGAAATTTAATTGTGGTTTTTTTTAAGGTTTAGTGTTCAAACTAGATTTGAAACAAACACATAAAATCTAGTTCAGTTCTAGTCCAGTTCAAGTTCTAGTTCAGTTCTAGTTCAGTTCTAGTTCAGTTCTAGTTCAGTTCTAGTTCAGTTCTAGTTCAGTTCTAGTTCAGTTCTAGTTCAGTTTCTAGTTCAAGTTCAGTTCTAGTTCAGTTCTAGTTCAGTTCTAGTTCAGTTCTAGTTCAGTTTATTCAGTTCTAGTTCAGTTCTAGTCAGTTCTAGTTCAGTTCTAGTTCAGTTCTAGTTCAGTTCTAGTTCAGTTCTAGTTCAGTTCTAGTTCAGTTCAGTTCTAGTTCAGTTCTAGTTCAGTTCTAGTTCAGTTCTAGTTCAGTCTAGTTCAGTTCTAGTTCAGTTCTAGTTCAGTTCTAGTTCAGTTCTAGTTCAGTTCTAGTCAGTTCTAGTTCAGTTCTAGTTCAGTTCTAGTTCAGTTCTAGTTCAGTTCTAGTTCAGTTCTAGTTCAGTTCTAGTTCAGTTCTAGTTCAGTTCTAGTTCAGTTCTAGTTCAGTTCTAGTTCAGTTCTAGTTCAAGAGAAAACTAAATTTACAATTTCTCAAAACCTAAAAATTTATAATCATTATTATTAAACCACTTTATCTTATTATTCTTCTTTTGCAGATTTATTTATTTTATGTTAACAAAACTCTTGATTTAATCTTCATTAAATCATTTAACCTCACTTCGAACTATTCTCCCTTAACACCATGGCTTACTACACTAGCAATACTTTCTCAATGAAACTACTAATCATTTCCTGGCTGTGTTATTTCTCTCGCTGCCTTATTGTCATGGCAAATCTTCCAGTCTCTTTACACAATTTCAAAATCAACGTTTTGCCATGGAACCGCAAGATCAAACGGCGGTAGTGGGTGCTAGGGTGACACTACCCTGCAGAGTCATTAATAAGCAGGGGGTTTTACAATGGACGAAAGATGATTTTGGTTTGGGTACCTCTAGAGATTTGGCTGGATTTGAGCGTTACTCTATGATCGGTAGTGATGAAGAGGGTGATTATTCTTTGGATATTTATCCAGTAATGTTAGATGATGATGCCCGCTATCAGTGTCAAGTAAGTCCGGGACCCGAAGGACAGCCGGCTGTGAGATCAACGTTTGCCAAAATAACGGTACTAGTGCCACCGGAGGCACCAAAAATTATCCAAGGAGAAGTTATACACACCACTGAAGATCGTAAAGTTGATATAGAATGTGTTTCGGTGGGTGGTAAACCGGCTGCAGAAATTACCTGGATCGATGGTTTTGGCAATGTGATAACCGACAATATAGAATATACCATCATACCTTTGCCAGATCTTAGAAGATTTACTGCCAAATCAGTGCTGAAACTAACACCCAAAAAGGAACATCACAACACCACTTTCACCTGTCAAGCTCAGAATACTGCCGATCGCACTTATCGTTCTGCCAAAATAAAATTAGAAGTAAAATATGCTCCCAAAGTTAGGGTTAATGTAATAGGAGGCGCGGTGGGCAATGGACGTATACTGGAACATTCTCAAGTTAGACTCGAGTGTAAAGCAGATGCTAATCCCAGTGATGTGCGCTATAAGTGGTATATAAATGATGAACCTATCAGTGGTGGTCAAAAAACAGAAATGGTAGGTTTACTTTTTATTTAAGGAAGGAGGGACTTTCAATTTTTAATTTGTTTATTTATAATTCTATAATTTTAGGTTATACGCAATGTTACTAGAAAATTCCATGATGCCATAGTTAAATGTGAAGTCCAAAATTCCATTGGCAAAAGTGAGGACAGCGAAACCTTGGATATTAGCTGTAAGTATTATTTATGAAGGAACTATCAGAAAGTTTACAAAAAACATTAAAATTTTAAAAACTTAACAAGAAATGTATAAAAGTGTAATTAATTTTCATTATCTTTTCTTTAATTTTCTCTTATTTTAGATGGTCCCACCTTCAAAGAAAAACCTCGTTCTATGGAAGCTGATATTGGCAGTTTGGTTACCTTGAACTGTGAGGTTGATGGTAATCCTACACCCGATATTGTTTGGATACAGCACCCCATTGACAGAGTAAGTATTGGAAAATATTTCCTTAAAATTTAAAAAGTTTCTTTTAAATAAAAAATATTAACTAAATAACTTTTTCTCTTCTTTCTCTTTAAAGGTTGTAGGCGCCAGTCCCAACTTAACCTTTAGTGTTAGCAACGAAACCGCTGGACGTTATTATTGCAAAGCCAATGTTCCCGGTTATGCTGAGATCTCAGCCGATGCTTATGTCTATCTTAAAGGTTCACCCACCATTTCCTCGGCACGCACACAATACGGTTTGATTGGTGATACAGCGCGTATTGAATGTTTTGCTACATCGGTGCCGCGTGCACGTCATGTCTCCTGGACATTTAATGGCCATGAAATCAGTTCGGAATTGGGTCATGACTATTCAGTTTTAGTGGATGCTGTGCCGGGTGGTGTGAAATCGACCTTAATTATACGTGACAGTCAATCTTATCATTATGGCAAATACAATTGTACGGTGGTTAATGATTATGGCAATGATGTGGCAGAAATTAATCTACAGGCACAAAGTAAGTGTTACCTCAGTATTTGAGGAATTAAAGAAAATATTAGAAGCAAACAGATTTTCCCACATTTTTTGGTTAATTTACTAATTAACATTCGTTTTTTTTTTTTTTTCTTAAAATTTCTTTTTATTTACAGAAAGCGTTCCCTTGCTAATGACCATAGTGGGTGGCATATCAGCAGTGGCTCTGTTAATGATCATTACCATTCTAGTGGTGGTATATTTCAAATGTAAAAAACGCTCCAAACTTCCACCCGCCGATGTTATAAGTGAACACCAAATTACCAAGAATGGTGGTGTGGGTTCTTGTAAAATGGAACCTGGTGATCGTACTTCCAATTATAGTGATCTCAAGGTTGATATCTCGGGTGGTTATGTACCATATGGTGATTACACCACACACTATAGTCCACCACCACAATATCTCACCACTTGTTCCACCAAATCGAATGGCAGTTCGACTATTATACAAAATAATCATCAAAATCATATACAACAACAACTGCAACAGCAACAACAACAGCAGCAACAACAACAAAGTCTACCCATGACCTTTTTGTCATCGAATGGCAACGGCAGTTTAACTGGCAGTATTATAGGCTCCCGGGAAATACGTCAGGAGAATGGTCTTCCCAGTTTACAATCCACCACAGCCTCGGTGGTGAGTTCATCGCCCAATGGTAGTTGTAGTAATCAAAGTACCGCCACTCATGTGGTAACTGCCACACCCGCCTCTGCGGTAGATCCACGTTTTAGTGCCATTTATGGCAATCCTTATTTGAGATCATCGAATTCCTCCCTACTGCCACCACCAACTGCTGTTTAAGGTAAAAGAAAATTGTATTTTTTTATAAAATAAATTAGACAAAGACATAAAAAAGATAACTATTGAGAATATAATTATAATTAAAAGAAAGACTGAAATTGTAAATAATACTTAAACTGGCATTCTATTAACATATTCACCGCGAGGTGTATATGGAAAAATATTACAAAAAAAAAAAAACAAAGTCATACTTTTAAACAAAAAAACACAACCATCTCAAACTCTAAGGAGACTTTTAAGTGGAAATTTTGGATAGATTTTTAATGTATTCATGATTAGATTTACTCACCACTCTGGGAAAATATTTGAAAAAGAGGTAACATTTACTATGATAGACCTGGGATTTATTCTTTGGGGAATTTGAAAGAAATTTGAAAACTTATATTGTTTTAATTGTATTCAAGATTCCCTAAAGAAATTAAAAAATTCACCTCAGAATACACATCAGAACTAGTGATTTCGCTACTATCTTTTTGTGGAACATAATTGAGAAGCAGTTTTCAAAGAACCAATTCTTCGGTACTAATTACATATGTAAAACATGAGTTCTGGAACTAGTTGTAGAACTAATACAATTATTCCTGCTAAAATGAAAATAACTTCGGTGAGTTTAAGAAAAACTCACTGATTGTTCAACTAGGATTTCTTCTTAGTGGTGAGTTTCTCAAAATATTGTGGAATTGGTAATTAAAATCAACACGATATGATAAATTTTAAAATTGTTATAAATTTTTTCAAGTTTCAAGATTATTTCTTGCAATGTTTTTTCTGCTAGTGGTGAAATTTATTAATTCAACTGACCGTGGTGAGTTTCTTAAAAAAGTGTTCTGTTTGAAGTAATATTCATATAGATACAAATTAAAACCTTTTTTTTTGGCATTTTAAAGGTTTTTTCTGCTAGTGGTGAAATATTTTAATTCACCTTGCCGTGGTGAGTTTCTTGAAAAATGCTCTATTTAAAGAAATATGCATAAAGACATAAATTAAAAACTTTTTCTTGCATTTTAATGATTTTTTTGCGCTAATGGTGAAATTTTTTTAATTCCCCTTGCCGTGGTGAGTTTCTTGAAAAATGCTCTATTTGAAGAAATATGCATAAAGATATACCTTAAGAACTTTTTCTTTCATTTTAATGATATTTTCTGTCAGTGGTGAAATTTTTTAATTCACCTTAACGTGGTGAGTTTCTTAAAAATTGCTCTGTTTGAAGAAATATTATAATATATTTATATTAAAACTATTTTTTCACATATTCCAAACATTTGCTTAGTGGTGAATTTTTCTAAAGCCAATTTATTCCACAAAGTCTCTGCTTTCATTAAAGAAAAGCCAATTTTGAATAACTAAAAAAGACTAAATTAACAAAGTATTTTAAAGAAAATAAACGAAATTTGTTTTCAGTCCATTATATAGAAGACAAACACTAACAACACTGCTTTAGTTTATATTCAAAGCCCTTTAAAAAGCATCTATTACAATTTTATAAATTAGTATGTATGTATTAATATTGTGTTAAACTCTTTGAAAAAAACAACTTAAAAGAGTTTACTTTTAATGTTAAGTATAAACAAAAACCTTATATATATTTAATAAAAAAATATTTAGAATTATTATTTTTAGATTTGGTAACTAGATTTAATTAAACAAAGAAAAAATTATAAAATAAATTAAGTAATTTGTTAAGAAAATATGTATGTATTTAGTAGTTTAAATATTATAACTTCTTTTTTGTTAGTTCTAGTATAAAAGCCAAAGTACCTGATAGTTTTAAGTCATAAACTTTAAGTTAGCAATTAAATAAATTAAATAAAATTTAGTTTTTTAGCAATTCGAATCGAACAAGTCCCAAATGAATAAAACTAAAACATTAGTATATGAACAACTTCTCTTAAATATTGTAAATTACTTATGTATACATATGTAACAAAAAAGTGTTTGAATCTAAAATTCTATTTATATGCTTTAATATCTAATCTATATAAAGCATATTATGCAAATTACCTTGAATGTAGTGTCTTACAAGCAAAAACAGAAAAAACTTAATTATTATTAAAAGTCATATTTGTGCTTCTGTGTACAATGAAAATAAATCAGTGAAAATATTTAAAGAAATTTATTAAAAAAAAGCTTGCTATTTAATAGTATTTAAACCTAAATTGATAAAGTATTTACCAAAAATAAAACGAAAAAAAACTTCACAAAATGGAAATTATATTTTTTAAATTTAACCCAAAAAATCTTAAAAACTACTTAATTATTTTTGATTTTAAAATTGTTTAAGCCTTTTATATTATCCCCTTATAATTTTAATAAAACTCATCTCATATATTTTTCCTTTAATATTTAAATAAATTCTAAACTACTTATTTGTATATAACTTAATATTTTGTAATTTTCTTTAATTTTTCTACTTAAAACAAAAAACTTCAAACGAATTATGATATGAAAATGAATTATAGTAATTTAAATTGTATATTTTTATAATATTTTGCATGAATTTATTGTAAAAAAATCCCATTAAAAACATAGTTGTAAATTTATAAAAAACCGTAAAAAAGTTATATTTAAAATAAAAAGTATATATATTAAATATAAGAAAATGTCGAATCCAAATATATATTTGCTTGATTTAAACAAATAAATGCTGGCAATTTTGTTGATAAGTAAATGATTTTTTTATTATTAAATAAAAATATTTAAATGAAAAAAAAAATTAAAAAATGTGTTTTATTTTTGAGGTTATAAATAGCAGTTTCTCAAAACGAGTGATGAAAAAGAAGTTGGCGAAAAAAATTCAATTCGAAAAATTACAAAGTTAAATGTCAGAAATTTAAAGTGGTAAATTTTGAAACGTAACAGAGATATTGGCTTTAATTGTAATTGATCGAAAGTTAACTTATATAAATAACTAGTAGCGCACTTACTAAAATAATCGGTATAGCGGTTAAGGTGTAATTGACTAAAACTAAAACTTCTACGCCGTCTGTCGAACAAATTTAAAACTTTACAGGAACATTTCTCACGATCCCTGAAACTTATATTTGAAATATTGTCCTAGAAGGCGCCGTAGTTCTTGAGTTTATCGATTACGAATAAACATTACTGTTTTATTTATAGAGAAGATAGATAGATAGATAGATAGATAGATAGATAGATAGATAGATAGATAGATAGATAGATAGATAGATAGATAGATAGATAGATAGATAGATAGATAGATAGATAGATAGATAGATAGATAGATAGATAGATAGATAGATAGATAGATAGATAGATAGATAGATAGATAGATAGATAGATAGATAGATAGATAGATAGATAGATAGATAGATAGATAGATAGATAGATAGATAGATAGATAGATAGATAGATAGATAGATAGATAGATAGATAGATAGATAGATAGATAGATAGATAGATAGATAGATAGATAGATAGAATAGATAGATAGATAGATAGATAGATAGATAGATAGATAGATAGATAGATAGATAGATAGATAGATAGATAGATAGATAGATAGATAGATAGATAGATAGATAGATAGATAGATAGATAGATAGATAGATAGATAGATAGATAGATAGATAGATAGATAGATAGATAGATAGATAGATAGATAGATAGATAGATAGATAGATAGATAGATAGATAGATAGATAGATAGATAGATAGATAGATAGATAGATAGATAGATAGATAGATAGATAGATAGATAGATAGATAGATAGATAGATAGATAGATAGATAGATAGATAGATAGATAGATAGATAGATAGATAGATAGATAGATATTGTCGAAAGAAAGTCTGTATTTCTCGAAAACTTAAACGAAATTCCCTATTTTTGCCGTAGGTCCAATTTTTTTGAGGCTTGAACTTAAGTAAAAAATAAAGAACCCATGAAGGATTCCAAAGCTGCTTTTAGTTTTCCTATGCCATCTTTGGGATGTCAGAACATATGGCTCAAATTTAAAACTTTGATAAAAATAGGTCCAATTCGAAACTTCACAGAGCCAACACACCCGGAAAATACGACATGTTTTATACGTAAACATTCTGTCCGTTTTCCCAAAAAACTGCAAAAATCTTAATTTTTTAGGTTTGGATCATTTATTTTTAGGACAAGAAAATGAATTATTATGACGTTTTGGACATATTCTGTAAGTGGTAGGGACCCTGAATTCCGTTTTTCCTGTCTAACAGTGCTGGTATTGTGAAAAAGGAAAATAAATCTATTTCCTAACGAATGTAATCATTGCCTAGAACTACCGATATTTTCTTTAATCGTTTTTCACATAGCCGTGATTCCTTTGCTTCTAGAAGTCAGCACCCTTCCGGGTGGTTTTACGAGGTCAATATTCAAATCTCCAATTCGACAATACTTTCACCCCATTAACACATGACCAGAAGAATATGAATATCCTTTTACGAAACAGGTTTTAAAACTATCCACATAAATATTGAAAGTCAACTACATGGAATTTAGTATCCGGATTCTTCTTTTAACTGAACAGGCTTCAGACAATACAATGGGGGCTACGTTAAGTGTAAAATGTTTTAAATCCCAAATATACATATGTACATTAGGGTTATAACTTCTTTAATTTTTTTTTTTTAATTTTAAATCGGCCCTATCAATTCCACTTAGTGTATAAAAAAGTACTTTGGAAAAGTATATCACTTTTTTTTTAGAGCGTTAAAAAGTTTCCGCGGTAAATGCTAAAAGTACAAAATCTGAAATTTTAGATATAAAAATCCATATGCCGCAGAAGGTTTTTGCACAAAAGTGCCCCAAGAAAAAAGTTTTCGTTATAAGAACACTACAGGCTACCACATATTGGTTTCATATTTTTTATACCAAGTATGGAATTTGAGAATAATATAAAGGGACCTGGTCCCTTCGGTAAAAAACATTTTAAAATTTATTTTACTTAAAATATACTTAAATATTGTCAATAAAAATTATTAAAAAAATCAGGATATATGTATGTATTTGGGTCAGATATGTATTAGTAAAAAAAAACGGACAAATGTAGATCAAAAACTCCAAATTCAAATAGTTTCTATAGGATTTATATTATTCAAGTTTTTCGTATAAGAACTTGGTTTTGAGACAAAGTGGTTTAGTGATGCTAGATTAGTTAGACGTTTAAGAAGTAATTTTGACAATAATTTGGATGGAACATAGATCGATCATAGTATGTATTAGTTAATTTTATCTGGCAGCATTACATTAGTCTGATTGCAAAGTATAGTATATTTTTAGTATTAAAATAAAATCGATTTGTTTTATTAACGCACAGTGCTACCATATTTCTAAAACATGATTGGCAATTCCTATAGTACAGGAGTTGCCGATCGTGGTATTTTTTAAAGTTTAAAAACACTACAACACAAACGTTAGATTTAAAAAATGAATCCATAATTTTTTATACAATTTGAATAAGGTTCAATTTCTTTAAATCGATTTCAAATTTCATAAAAATTAAGTGTAAAGGCAGTTTTAAGCATAACTTTTTTTTTGGAAATTTAGCACGAAATAACGGTATTATACATATGTTTTTGCTGTAACGCACAAAAATATTGTACTACACCTACTTTAAAATATACGATAGATTTAGAATCACTTTCTGAGTCGATTAAGATATATTTGGCAAGCAGTCCATGTAATACATTATGTGCAAGGTACAGACCGCAATTTTCAACATATTTTGATCGGTCCATTATTTCATCTAGTCCTCTTACAAACGGTCTTTCCGATTTGAAAAATTGCGACATTCACATTCTAAATTGTATGAATATCCGCAAAAACCTATTAAGAAAACTTGAAAGCCCCAAATTGGGGACAAATCCCCCCATCTGTTTGGCAACTCTGTTCATAATCAAAAGCTCTCTCTTTTTTTCCAAACTTTGTACTCTTTAATGATTTTTATTTTTATGCCGATCAGTTGTTTACTAATCTTCTTTATTGCAGCAAGTGTTGTTATACTTTCTTTATCAATATTTTTCTTTTTCTTAAATTTTTACTTTTTTTCAAAATCTAAAACATGGCTAAACAATTATTAGGCAAATTGGCAATTGTTACCGGTAAGTAAAATAAAGTTATTCGATTAAAGTTTAATATTAAACTAAACAAAAAAAAAAAAAACATAAAAATCAAGGTGCTGGCTCTGGCATTGGACGCAGCACATGCCGGGTATTGAAAGATTATGGTGCCAAAGTTATAGCAGCTGATCGTAATTTACCAGCAGCTGAAGAGACGGCTAAACAATTGGGTAGTGGTGAGTTTTTAATACAGATTATATATTATCAGCAGCCTAAAATTGTGCTACATAATGAATTTAACTTTTAACTACAGATGTTTACCCCTTGGAAATAGATGTATCATCGTTTGATAGCGTTTGTCAAGCCGTTAAACAAACCAACACTCAATTTCAAACAGTACCCTCGGTGGTGGTTAATTCGGCTGGTATTACACGAGATGGCTATTTACTTAAAATGCCCGTACACGATTATGATGATGTCTACAGTGTCAACTTAAAGGGCACCTTTCTGGTGACACAACAATTTGCCAAGGCCATGATTGAGCACAATATTAAGGATGGCAGTATTGTTAATATTTCAAGTATCGTAGCCAAAATGAACAATATTGGCCAGGCAAATTATGCCGCCACCAAAGCAGGTGTTATATCATTTACCGAGGTGGCATCGAAGGAATTTGGTAAATTTGGCATACGGGTCAATGCCATCTTACCCGGTTACATTAATACACCAATGGTTGAGGTGGTGCCCGACAAGATTAAGGAACAAATTGTTGTACGTTGTCCACTGGGTCGCATGGGTGAACCGTATGAAATTGCCGAAGTAATAGCATTTTTAGCATCTGATAAATCTTCGTATGTTAATGGTGCTGCCATCGAAGTAACAGGTGGCCTAAAGTGAGTGAAATTTCTTTGAGTGACTGTAATGACTGTTGCGTTGTTAGTGATGATGATGATGGCGATATTGGTGGTAATGCTGACAATGTTGTGTTAATATTTGTTTATGATTATGCTTTCTTTTTGTCTTTTAATTTATGTTAATAATGGCATTTATTAGTTTTAATAAAATTAAGTGTTAAATAGTTAATGATGGATTTTTTAAAATATTTTATTATTTTTACTAGCGTATCCAAGTTGAAATTAATATTGACATTTGTACGCCTTCAGAATTGGTTCTATATTTGGAAAATAATGCATTCAATTCGTTGTAGTGTAGTAGACCAGAGTCTCTGATGGTAATCGAACACACAATCCCCAGTCGGACACTATCAACAACCCTATCGGGGCATCCGTAGGCTATAAAAGACATATATACATATTTTGAAGGAGTAGAAAAGTGCATTCCGACCTGCATATATACATACATATGTACATTAGTTAGTTTGAAAGGAGGATGTACATACATACATCAAACCCGAAGAAATACACCTACGCCTCTATCGAGCCTCTTGTGCCCTCCTTAACCAGTGCCTCAGGTGGGAATCGAACCCACTAACCTACCGGGGGCTATAGGGTCGACTATAGTAGCGACTATAGAGTCGACTATATTTTAGACTATAGAGTTGACTATAGAGTCGATTATAGTGTCGACTATAGAGTCGACTATAGTGTCGACTATAGGGTCGACTGTAGAGTCGACTATACTATACAGTCAACTGTAGTGTCTACTATAGAGTCGACTATAGTGTATACTATACAGTCAACTGTAGTGTCTACTATAGAGTCGACTATAGTATCAACTATAGAGTCGACTATAGAGTCGATTATAGTGTCGACTATAGAGTCGACTATAGTGTCGACTATAGTGGCGACTATAGAGTCGACTATAGTGCCGACTATAGAGTCGACTATAGTTTTGACTATAGAGTTGACTATAGTTATTATTAGGCCCTATCACAACGTAGTAGTCAGTAATATTCTAAAATCGAAAACATTTTTCCCGGGTCATTTTGGTGCAAAAACCTTCAGTGGCAAATTGGTTTTCTAAAATCATTCACAAACAAATTTACACGATTATTTAATAGTATAATTTACAAGTTTGGGTATTAAATTTAGGAAAGGGATAAACCCTAGGCCCCATCCTTGCTTTTTCTCCATGTAAATGTCGTGGGTTAAACAAAGACACTTGTTTATATCGAAAATTTCGGATTTTGTTTTAAAAGGCCCTGTCCTCGCTTTTTCTCCATGTAAATGTCGTGGGTCAAACAGAGCCACTTGTTTATATCGAATATTTCGGATTTTGTATTAAAAACTTTGCTTAGAATAAATTTTGAAAACCTTAAAGCATTTGCCGCGGAAACTTTTTTAACGCTTGAGAAAAGGTGAGCGTATACGTACATTTTTATACTCTATGTGGATTGGATATGGCCGATTTTTAACTTTAAAAATGTTTATAAAAGTTATTACATCTTCCAGCAAGTGAACTGCCTACAGACAACTCAATAGACCAGATTAGGGACTAGTCAATAGGCTAGAGAAAGTCCAAAGAATAGTATAGTCAATAGATATGTAAGTATAGAGTCTAGTCAATCGACAAATCCAGAGTAGAGGCATACATAATTATTTAAGGAATTACTTCCGATTTAATGTTAACGTTTTAAGGGTGTAGGGTTTTTTATAAAACGTATCTTCGATAGTATAAACCGAATAATTTCTAAACCAGTTGTTTTTTTTAAACTCACGAAAACCATTTTTTAACTCTTCATTTTTTCATGAGATATGAGTTACATATATAGATTTTGTTTTTGTTTTTCACGAGAGAAATCAAAACGAAACACGAATAAAATCACATTTTTTTTTTTAATTTTAGACATTTTTGTTGCAGTTTTATTTTAATAAATTATCTTCGTTTCTTTTTTTAACATTATTAACAATTTCACAAAATTTGTCTTCATTTTACAGTTCTTTTCCTTTTAACTTTTGCAATTTTAGGCAACCACAATGCGACGACGTTTGTTCTTATTCTTATTGAGGCGTCTGCGATTGGTGCGTCTCTTAATGACGCGGCGTTTAACGGGACGAGTTCTCTTGTTGTTGTTCAAAATAACACGTTGACCATTTTTGAAGTAGCCACGATATCTGGCTGGTACACGTACACTGACAACTTGACCACGTTTAGTACCACGACGTCTTAAGTTAATGCGAGCTGGGCCATTATTGGCCTTAGCATCGGAAGTACCCTGAATTTCTTGATCGGTAACAACATATTCCTCAGCTCCAGCTGCCAAAGCAGCAGCTAATGTATGTTCGTCAACAATGGCACCTTCTTCCTCGGCTTCCTTGTCATTATCGCTAGATGAGCCGCGACCATAAAGGTGAATACGGTTAACTGCTTCACCTTCGTTTCCCGCTCCAGCTCCTGCTCCGGGTTCAGGACCAGCACCAGCTCCAGTGGGACTTAAAGTTTCAGTTGTAATAGTTCCAGTAGCAGTAGGTATGGTACCATCTGATGTAATAGTTGTGGTCGTTGGTGACAAACCAATGCCATCATCGGAATTAGCTCCAGTAATAATAATGGGTATAATGGGTTGCTTTTGGTTCTGGCCGAACATGTTCTTGAACAATACGAACTTTTTCATAAACAAGCGACCACTAGAAGCATCACCTTTCTTTGAGGCATCATTAACAACAACTTCATCATTTTCCAACTGATCATGATCATCAGCATCTTTAACATCATCTTCGATAATTTGAGCCGCACGATATCTGGAAGCTAAATAAATACCAATTACTATTTTGTAAACCTGAATACAAAGAATATTTTCGTAAACTCACCTTTAACTGGTTCGGGCTCAGGTTCGGCCAAGGCCACTACAGCAAAAGCTGCCAACAGGACAAATGTCAGAGTGAAGATTTTCATAATTGAAACTACTTTTAGATCAATAAAAGAACTTTTCAATAAATCTCTTGTGATTGCTGTGATTGCAAATCAATGTTTGATAATTATCGATCGACAATCAATTCTTTTTATACGATTTCAAAATTGGGGCTCAGACATTTAAACAAAATCAAAACTGAATATCATTTCATATTCATCAACTATTTACTTTTATGTTACGCTTAATGCAAAAATTTATGGTCAAGTACTTACTCGTTTAGCAAACGGTAAATGCGAAAGTACAACTATTTTTGTTTTATTATTTCTTTTTTTTTTTTTTTTTTTTTTGTTTACTTATTATTTCATTTAAATGCCCAAGAACTTAAAGCCACATTTAAAGCGCTCTAAGCTATTTTCATTGAAGAAGAAAAAGTAATAAAGAAATAGAAATTTCTTTAAAGTCATCATCGTCATTAAAATTTCATTGAAATCATAAAATCATAGATTATATCGTTCGTCAAAAGAAATGTACATAGAATAGGTTTTCTTGACATCAGTAGCATACATTGTTTACACGGACGGAGGTAAACATGTAAATTTTAGTTCTTTTTTACATTTTGTAATTTTTATAAAAACATAAGTACATTCATAAGTGTGTAAATACTTAGATTAATTAAAAAAATAAATAGAAAAGAATTTGAGAGATAAAGATCTTCAATCGTCTTAGAATCATTTTCAGAGTCGTAATCAAACTACAGGTCGCAATTTTGAAGATAATTCAATGAAGTTTGGCACATGATCTTTTATTGACACAGGAACGAAGTCTATTGAGAATGGTTAACATGGGTCCATTATTTCACCTAGCCCCCATACAATTGAACCCCTGAATAAGGCTTGTAAACCTTGTAATCCAACTACAGGTCGCAAATTTGAAGATAATTCAATGAAGTTTGGCACATGATCTTCTATTGTCCCAGGGACGAAGCCTATTGAAAATGGTTAAGATCGGTCCATTATTTTACCTAGCCTCCATACAATTGAACCCCTGAATAGGGCTTGTAAACCTTGTAATCAAAATGCAGTTCGCAATTTTGATGATAATTCAATAAAGTTTGGCACATGATCTTCTATTGTCCCAAGGAACGAAGCCTATTGAAAATAGTTAACATCGGTCCATTATTTCACCTATCCCTCATATTTTTACAACAGGTGTAGGGTATTATATGGTAGGCCTCGCCCGACTATAATTTCTTACTTGTTTTTACTATTTTGTATGAAGAATGTTCGGTTTTGGGGGGTTTGGATCCGTGCCTGCTGATCTGAATACACAGTTCAAAAAATACAAATTTTGGATTATGCCAGCCTTGTGTAAATTAGCGATATGTCCACATAAGGGACAATGTAATGGTGTTCAGTATAATAATAAAAATAAAACAAAATCATATATATTATAAGTTTTCAAATAATTTATTTATCGTTTGTCAGGTGTTGTATCTAGTAATGGCGTCTGTTGCGGCGTCTCCTGCTACGGCGATTTCTCCTACTGCGCAGACGATTTCTGTAGCGGCGTCTCAATTGAGCACGACGTTTGTTGGCCTTTTTAATTCGTTTTCTAAGACGACTTATACGTCTTCTATTGCGCCTTGCTATTTTGCGACGATTAGCTGCTAGCCGCCTACGTCTGCGTTGTTGTTGGCGACGTATCCTTTGGAAACGCATACGTCTGCGCATCATTTGACGCCTGCGGTTTCTCATAAGGCGTTGTCGGCGTCTTAAAGCTGCTTGACGACGACGACGTTGCATCATCTGTCGGCGGCGATAGTTATTAGGGCGAGCTCTTGCAGAACGACCAAGTCCAGCAGGGTTATTGAAGTTCTTCATATTGTTGTTAATATTAAGTAATTCATTTTGTTCGAATCTAGGTCTACGATCTAGATCACTGTCAGCTACTTCTGCGCTATCATCTTCATAGTTGTATTCATCATCTTCATCAAATTTAAGATCCTCGTCATCTCCTGCTTGTGGTAGTTCATCGTCATTAGCTGAACGTGCATCTGGAGGTGGTGGTGGTGGAGGAGGTGGTGGTGGTGGAGGTGGTGGAGGTGGTGGTGGTGGAGGAGGTGGTGGTGGTGGAGGTGGTGGTGGTGGAGGAGGTGGAGGTGGTGGCGGCGGTGGTGGAGGTGGAGGTGGTGGCGGAGGTGGTGGTGGAGGCGGTGGTGGAGGAGGTGGTGGAGGTGGTGGTGGTGGAAGTGTTCCTGTTGGAGGTGTTGGAGGTACTGTTCCAGTTGGAGGTGTTGGGGGTACTGTTCCAGTTGGTGTACATGGTTCACATGTTGTTGGTGGTGGCGCTGGTACCATAGTAGTAGTAGGTGGTTCAGGAGCTGGTTGTTGTGGTTGATGTTTATTCATCCATGGGTAAAACCGAGGTTCTCCTACGTTCGAGCGCTCTCGTTGTTCGAACAATTTATATCCTTTTCTATTTCCTTCATGTCGACCATCTGTAAATAAAATTTCAATATTTAACATGAATTTCAACTGTAGTAGGGATATAGCAGATATTTCTTTATAACTTACATGCAGACTGCATAAACAGCGCGGCCAGAGCCAGCAAAAGCAGGCTCGTGCGCATTTTCGCAAGTTTACTTAATGCTTTATAAATATGAAATTGGAAAATATCGTAGTTTTGATATCTTCAAATCACTTTTATACTGTAGGAAATTCTTCTTTAGTATGTGGTTATGTAGAAGAATACCAACAGGTGAATGATACTTTTTTCGCAAATTCGCAAAATATTTATATAATTCTTTGGATTCATTATTGTTAGTTTTTCTTGGGGAATTAATGAATTCGAATTTAATTAAGATCACTAAATTAGATTTATGGTCGATATACTAAGTTTTTAGTATCATTGTTAATTCATATTTGCAACAAAAACTATACAAATCTAATAAAAAGAAATTTAAAAATTTGCATAAATTTTGCAAACATTTCTGTTCTTGTTTCTTTTTGTTTTATTTCGAATAGAAAAATACTAAAACAAATATAAAAAGTTATTAAAATATATATTTCAGATAAAAGGGTAATGACCTCAAGATAATAGATCTAAATAAATTGAAAAATATTCCTGCAAAATATTTATTGGAATAACTTGTAGACAGAAGAGTGCGGTTGGAGCCAACAAAAGCAGATTGGAGTGCATTTTCGTTACTTCATTCGATATTAAAAATTATTGGAAAAAGGAATATCAACTAATCAATTTTTTTTTGCATAATTTTAAAGTTTTTTACTTAGAATTTATAATTTTTTATTTAATTATAGGAAATTTATGAATAGAATTTTTTAATACCACTAATCTAATTTATAAACATGTATAACAAGCAAAATCATTTTTGCAATAAAATCTATGTAAATTTTTTTAGGACAAAATTTGCATATATCTCACATACATCTATGGTTTTGGCTATTATTTCTTGTCGTTAAGATCAAGTATACAACAAAAATTTTACAAAATAAAATATTAATGAAAGATCTTTATAATTTCCTTGGTGATAGAAAAATAATAAGTATAACAATTCTGGCAATGTAAACTCGATGCTGTTCCAAACTCAAGCAAGTACTTTGGGTCTACACGTAGAGTAAAGAATATGCAATATACGACACACCGCTTTGCTGGAAGGAAGAGAGGGGAGGGGGAACAAATGAGGGGAAAAAAGGGCCGCGGAAGGGAGAGGGGAGAGAAAAGGAAGGGAGACCAAAGGGGGGAGCGCGGAGAGGGAAGAGGAGGGGGGAGGCCCACCGAAGACGGAGGAGGGGGGGAGGAACGGGCGGGGGAGGGCGGCGGGGCGAGACAGCAGCGGGGGAGCCGAACGAAACGAACGAACGACGAACGAACGAAACGAACGAACGAAACGAACGAACGAACGAACGAACGAACGAAACGAACGAACGAAAAGAACGAAACGAACGAACGAACGAACGAAACGAACGAACGAACGAAGAACGAACGAACGAACGAAGAACGAACGAAACGAACGAACGAACAACGAACGAACGAAGAACGAACGAACGAACGAACGAACGAACGAACGAACGAAACGAACGAACGAACGAAACGAACGAACGAACGAACGAACAAAGAACGAACGAACGAAGAACGAACGAACGAACGAACGAACGAAAACGAACGAACGAAACGAACGAACGAACGAACGAAGAACGAAACGAACGAACGAACGAAAACGAACGAAACGAACGAACGAACGAACGAACGAACGAACGAACAACGAACGAACGAAGAACGAACGAACGAACGAACGAACGAACGAACGAACGAACGAACGAACGAACGAACGAACGAACGAACGAAACGAAGAACGAACGAACGAACGAACGAACGAAAGAACGAACGAACGAACGAACGAACGAACGAACGAAGAACGAACGAACGAACGAACGAACAACGAAGAACGAAACGAACGAAACGAAGAACGAAACGAACGAACGAACGAACGAACAACGAACGAACGAACGAACGAACGAACGAAACGAACGAACGAACGAACGAACGAACGTAACGAACCGAACGACGACGAACGAACGAACTAAACTATACTTAACTGTAACGAAGAGAACGAACGAACAACGAACGAAACGAACGAAACGAACGAACGAAAACGAACGCGACCGAACGAACGAACGAACGAACGTAACGAACGAAGCGAACGAACGAACTAACGAACGAAATCGAACGAAACGAAGACAGAACGAACGAACGAACGAACGAACCGAACGAACGAAACGAACGAACGAACGAACGAAGAACGAACGAACGAACGACCGAACGAACGAACGAACTAACTAACGAAGAACTAACGAACGAACTAACGAACGAACTCAACGGAACTAGACGAACGAACTAACGAACTACGAAGAACGAACGAACGTAACGAAAGAACGAACGAACGAATCGAACGGAACGAAGAACGAACTAACTAACGTAACGAACGAACTACTAACTAACTAACTAACTAACTAACTAACTAACTAACTAACTAACTAACTAACTAACTAACTAACTAACTAACTAACTAACAAACTAACTAACTAACTAACTAACTAACTAAATTTAAAAGCATTCGTGCAGAAACTTTTTTAACGTTTGGGAAAAAGTGATGTACTTTTTCGACGTCCTTTTTTATGATCTATATGGAATGGATAGGACCAATTTGAAATTTAACAATTTTTATAAAAGTTATAACCACAGTATTTATGTTGGGATCAGTGTCCCCACTTTGGTTATTATTAACCAAAATTGGTTGTTTTTATTTTGCAAGTGTACATGTGAACTAGTTAAACTAAATGCTGTTTGCTTTTATTCTCTTTTTAAAATGTGAAAATAAAAACTTTCTTTGATCTTTAGTAATAAACCAACTAGAACTGAACTGGAACTGAACTAGAACTGAACTAGAACTGAACTAGAATTGAACTAGAATTGAACTAGAACTGAACTAGAACTAAATTAGAACTGAACTAGAAGATGCGGGTTTTTGTCATTCCGTTATAAATATTAGCAAAAGTAAGACGGTCCAACTATGTCCGTCCGTCAGTCTCTTTATTGAAAACACGAGAGAGTCGAAAAGAAACAAGATAGAGAGCTGAAATGTTTTGTCAAAATATTTTTAGTTGGTATTGAAAATGGAAAATATCGGTCAATGATTTCACCTAGCCCCCATATCAGGCCTTACTCAGAAAATGAGTATATTGCTAGAAACTGACTTAAAAAACCATACATATGTATATAGCGATTATATTCAACATAAACAAGTTTAATTGGAGACGAAATGTTACTGTTTTAAGGATCGCCACAAAATTGACACTATCCCCCATATAAAGTCCTCTCAGAAAATTACTTTAAAGCTCATAATTAGCTACAAAATTGCATTATAGCAACAAAATTAAACATAATCAAGTTTTAATGGAACTAAAATCTCACTTTAAATTCTTTGAGAATCGGGACATAATTGATACTAGGCCTCATATAAGCATTTGTTGTGTCAACACTGGCTGGGATATTAGTATTTAAAGTAATTTTATTATAAGTATATATAATAAATAATGCTTGAAACCAATTTACAAGCAATCTATGTTTTCTAGGTTTAAGAACACAAAAATAGTTCTAGCAGCTAAATATTTCCAAAATAATATCCTTATTCAAATTGAAAAATATGAGTTATCGCCAGATAACTACCTTTTTCCAATGAAACTTATTTTAGAATAGATTAGAAGAGATCTTCAGCAAAAGGAATATTACAGTGAAATTTTTAGTATTTACCAAGTTTTAAACCTTTTACCCCTTTTAAGATTCCTTTTGTTAAAATGAACATTTCAAATAAAACAGAATACTATTACGTTATAAGTTTTTCAAAATTTATTAATCGTTTGTCAGAGTTCTATTTAAACTTGGCGGATAATCAGTTTCCTTCCAGGGCGGCGTCTAAAACGACGTAAACGAATTTGCTGTCTGATGCGATTTCTCCTGTTGCGGCGACGCCTTCTATTGCGGCGTCTTACATTAGCACGGCGTCTTTTAGCCCTAATACGTTGCATTCTAATTCTCATTAATTGTCTCCTATGGCGTAGTGCTACTCTGCGGCGGCTTGCTGCTAGACGTCTACGTCTAAGAATCTCCCGGCGACGCATTTTCTGAATTCGATTGCGTCTGCGAATCATTTCACGTCTGCGGTGTCTTTGCAAACGTTTACGATAACTGTTTCTATTTCTGTTCTTTCTAAAGTTCCTTAAACGTTTTCTTTGCATGATGCGTTGTCTGCGTCTCATAGCCTGTTGGCGACGACGGCGCATCATTTGACGACGGCGCCAATTAGAGATGCGTGATCGTGCAGCACGACCAAGTTCTGCGGGATTGGTGGTCAAGTCATCCTTTTCGTTGCTAAGATTAACTAAATCGCTTTCATCGTCATCATATTTGCTATTGAGTTTTGGTCTAACAAAGCGACTTAAGCCACGAGCTGCTTCCTCTTCCTCTTCATTTTCCTCCTCTTCTTCTTTATCTTCTTCTTCTTCTTCGTCGTCTTCTTTGTCTTCATCATCCTCCTTGGGTTCATCTTCTTCATCATCCTTGGCATCATCTTCTTCATCATCTTCGGGTTCGTCGTCATCACCTGCTGGGGGATCATCTTCATCATCATCAGCTGGTGCATCTGGAGGTGGTGGTGGTGGAGGTGGTGGTGGAGGAGGTGGTGGTGGTGGTGGAGGAGGTGGTGGTGGTGGAGGAGGTGGTGGTGGTGGTGGTGGAGGAGGTGGTGGTGGAGGTGGTGGTGGTGGTGGTGGTGGTGGCGGAGGTGGAGGTGGAGGAGGTGGTGGTGGTGGTGGCGGTGGTGGAGGAGGTAGTGTTCCTGTTGGAGGTGTTGGAGGAAGTGTTCCTGTTGGAGGTGTTGGTGGTAATGTTCCTGTTGGTGTACATGGTTCACATGTTGTTGGTGGTTCTGGTCCCGTAGTCATAGTAGTAGTTGGCTTAGGAGTAGTTGTTGTTGTCTTCTTATTCATCCATGCTGTGATAAAACGAGGTTCATCGTCGTTCGAACGCCCGCGTTGTCCAAACAATTTATATCCTTTTCGATTTCCCTCATGGCGACCATCTGTAAATACATTTTATGAATGAATTAATTCCATGTGGATATATAGAAAATGTTTATTTATGACTTACATGCAGACTGCATTAACAGCGCGGCCAGAACCAGCAAAAGCAGGCTCGTGCGCATTTTCGTAAGTTTTCCTAATAGCTCTATATGATATTTTCAAATAACTTTTATTCTGTAGGGAATTCTTCTTTAGTATGTAGTCTAAAAGAGGAATACCAACAGATGACTGATACCATTTTCGCAAATTCGCAAAATATTTATATGGTTCTTTGGTTCATAGTTTTCCATTCATTCAAAGGGAATTAATGAATTCGAATTTAATTAAGAATACTAAATCAGATTTATGGACGATATACATAGTAAGTTTTTAGTATCAAAGTAAACAAATCGAATGAAAAAAAATTATAACATTTGCATAAATTTCGCAAAAAACACACACACACACACATACTTAGTTTTGTTCTTGTTTCTTTGAAAATTTGCACACAAACAATCAGCACTGTCAACACCAAAATGAACTTAATTGACCTGGTCTAAACATAAGTACGACTTTAAACAATGTGTGGTCGAACTTTAAATATTGATAATTTACATAAAAAATAATAATTTAAATAATAAAATATAAAAAATGCCGCTGACAAAAGCAATATTTAGATCTAGATCGTAAATGTAGTTGTTGGGTTAAACTATTTTTAAAATACAGGTTCATACGTAGATGCTTAACATAAAGAATTTTTTAACTAAATATTAAGACAGTTAAAATAGTTTTTAATAACCTAAATAAACATGTTTATATGTTTATTTTGCTCTTCTAGTTCTGGGAAAGATATTTGATACTGTTTAGAAGATAGATCGACAGATAACATAGCCCAATCTTAAATAGTTTATAATAAAATAATAAAACTACCTATAGATTGGAGACGTTAAAGTTTAAAGGATATGTAATAAAGGAAAAACAAAAGGAATTTTTTTTTGTAATATAAGTTTTAATTTTTATTTATCCATTTATCGGTGGGCATTATCCTTTTCAATATTGACGACGACGATTTCTGCGTACGACACGACGACGTTGGCCGCGGCGGGAACGCCTGATGCGGATTTGTTTTGGTCTCTTGTTGCGTCTTTGTCTTCTCAATTGTTGGCGGCGACGTTGGCGAATTTTCCTCATGATACGGTTTCTCAAGCGATTAAGACGTCTACGTTCGTTGCGGCGTCTGGCAATTTGGTTAGCTCTGCGGCGACGTCGCTGTTGTTGTTTTCTCCATTGCTCCAAACGACGACGGTTGCGTTGTTTTGTTTGAGTCCTACGGCGGTTATTTTGAACACGTTGTTTACGTCGGTTGCGTTGTCTGCGTTGTTGGTTACGTCTTCTCAGTTGTTGATATCTTTGCCTGCGGCGTTGATTGCGAATTAGTCTTTGGTAATTTCTTCTTTGACGTTTAAGTTGACGGTTAAGTCTGTCACGTTGGGCACGCAAACGTCTTTGTCTACTACGCCATCTAGATGAACTGGAACGGTAAGCACGTCCTTCAGCAATATCAGAGCTTTCCGATTTAAGAATTTCATTTTCGATAATATCGTCTTCATCGTCTTTATTGAAATAAGAGATAGATCTTTCCTCAGGGCCGTCACCTTCACCATCAGGGCCGTCACCTTCACCATCAGGGCCGTCTCCTTCATCATCAGGGCCGTCTCCTTCACCATCAGGTTCTTTTTCATCAGGTTCATCTTCATCAGGTTCTTTTTCATCAGGTTCTTTATCATCAGGTTCATCTTCATCAGGTTCTTTTTCATCCGGATCCTCATCTTCTGGTGGGGTGGGTTCTTCAGTATCTGTAGGCTCTTCAGTATCAGTAGGTGGTTCTTCGGTATCAGTGGGTGGTTCTTCAGTATCAGTGGGTGGTTCTTCGGTATCAGTAGTTGGTGGTGGATCTTCAGTATCAGTTGTGGGATCTGTTGTAGGAGGTGTTTCAGGTAAATCTGTTGTTGGTGTTTCGGGCGGTGTAGGTTCACCAGTTGGTACGGTAATCGTTGTGGTAGGATCAGTTTCAGGTGGTAAAGTTGTGGTAGGATTTTTAATTGCCGCTAAAGCAGCAAATTTATCAAACAATGGATATACGGCGTTGACATAACCTATACAATGAAATAATAATAAAAATTATTATTAAGGTCCAGAGAGTTTCATTTGATTTTTCATTTTGATATTTACCTGTTGATTGCAGCAAAACTGCTACTAAACAAACAAAGATTAAAGTGGGCTTTGATGCAGCCATGACTATTAAAATCTTCTGTTATATTCTGTGTTGAAAGCCAAATCAAAATCGTTTTTGATTCCAAACGATCAGTTGTTTAAATTGTTTTGCTTTACACTCCACCAAGTTGTAAGGCTTGGTAGTGAACTGACTTAATACCGGCCTCCCAACCATATTTATATGTTGTAAAATCTTGTAAATTTGCTTACATTTCTCCAAAGAAATTCTACATTCTGAAATTCTATGGAAAAAGAAACAACAATTCCATGCAGTCGTCCATAAATTAAAGCGCTGTAATCAAATCAATTTTACATAAAAAACAACGATAACGGCAATAGACAAAAAGAAAGATCATCTCATTTGAATAATCCAATGAAACGTTGTAACACCATTGTAGAGGCCTACCGATCGATTTGCTTTATATGTATGTATGTGTCGCCAAGACAATCAAATTATGTTTATTATCAAATATGTATTTATAAATATTTGCATTGTTAATTTTTACAAACCAATACACATTTAGCAAACTATTGGCCATTACATACATACATACATGTTCTTTTACTGCTGACTTACATACAGTTAGTTGTAAGAGCAAATCAGTGAATACTATTTTTAGCTAACAAAATTAATATTCGTGTGTAAATTTGTGACCTAAAAATCTTCTTTAATAATTGTAAAACGTGCACTGAAGTAACGAAATAGTAATTATAATTGGCAAAACTTCAATTACAATTACAAATAATAGTAACAGTACATTACACATTATAAGTATTTGTAACTGGCAAAACTTCAATTACAAAAAATTGTAATTAGTTATTGCTCAATTATACATTAAAAGTAATTGTAATTGTTATGTGTTTGTGCTGATGTTTGTAATAATTGAAAAATATTGGTCCTACACCTTGAAGTATACTAATAGGCTAAGAATCACTTTCTTAGATATGTATGTCCGTCAATGAAATCAGATTAAAATCGTATTAACTTAAATGTGAGTTTTTATCCCAGAGAAAAATATTTTTTTTGTAAAATTTTTGATAATTCCAGATAATAGGAAACATACATCTGAAGTTTTAGTAAAATCGAATAATGTTAACCCATAAACATAGCTGTAAAATTTCGATTACGATTAATAATCAATTAAATTATTTTTCAAAAATAATCGTAATGATTATTTAATTCTCTGGTATAAAATTTCTGATTATTAATTGATTACGATTAAAATTAATCTAAAAATAATCAGGATTAATTTAAATTAATGAAAATAACCAAAAATAATCAGAATTAATCAAATAATTAATTTGATTATTTTCAAGGATTAATTTTGATTATTTTTGATTAATTTCAATATATTTGGTACAATTCTCTATCTTTTTACATTACGAGTAATGGAAAACTGTTTTTTAAGTTACACACTATTCGATTAGATGACTATTTTATTGAAAACAATATATTTATCGAGTTTATTTCGATTGAAAATCTTGATCTCAGTACAACATATTAGAAAAAATTACTGCAATCATTTCGAAATGGGTCTCAAAAAATCCGTAATTTTTAGCGGATTACCGGAAATATATTTAAATTTTTCATAGAGTTTTTTTTGGGATGAAATTATACTAAATATATGGAAAATAATCAAAATTAATCCTTGAAAATAATCGACTAATTTTTATTGATTAATTTGATTTTTTTTTATTATTTTCATTAATTTCAATTAATCCCTAATTATTTTTAGATTATTTTTAATCGTAATCAATAATTAATTAAACAAATTTAAAATAATCGTTAATTAATCATTAACTTTACATTTTTAATAAAAATAATCTAATTAATAATGATTACGATTATTAATCATTATTTTACAGCTATGCCCATAAATGGGCAAAAACCCTTAAGACGGCAGTTTAAAAAATCCAGTTTCAAACTTTTACCAATTTTGTTAAGTAAATTTTAAAATTTTAAGAAAGTCTCCATATGACTTATGGATAATAAAGAAGGGAATACAATGGTAAATAAATTAGATCACTATCTTTCACATATTAGCAATAAGTGCGATTTGAATTTTGAGGAGATGACAATTTTTTGTCAAAATTTTTGAAAAACATTGCTTATTCTTTACTGTTATGCATTTTATATAAAACTTTTAAAGAATATATAATTCAAGATAATAGAAAATATATTTATCTGAAATTTTAGTAAAATCCAATAATGTTAACCCATAAACTGTGAAGGTTAAACTCAAGCTATGCAATATTGGAAAATCCTCTTGAAACCATAATGAAATATTATATCGTTTTCAAACGATTTAAATGAAACTTAGGCAAAATATATAATTAAGACCCATATTTATGACGACAACGAAAAAAAATCACATTAACCCTTAAACGTAAATATATTTTTAAAATTATATAGAACGTCCGTAATATAAGAACAAAATATTCAATGTCATTTTGCGATGAAATTGTGGGTGGTAGAAAAAATCAGATATCAGATTCGGTTTCAGCAATCGCGCTAAATTTTTCCAGAATGCTTTCCTATAACTTAAAGTTTAAGTCTGGAAGCAGAACTTTATGGAAACAATTTTCTCATATATTAGATCAATTATGGCGCGATCCTCCTAATATTTTCGTTCATACACATTTTGTTTATGTCGAAGTTCATCATTGTACTCGTATTTTTAAGCCAATAATAAGTAATTTTCTGAAGGGGACCTTAAATGGAGAGTTGGGTCAACTATGGCGCGATCCTCGTATATATTTTTAGAAAGATTTTGACTCATAAAACTTTTTTTGTCGAATTTCAGCGCTGCACTCGTATTTTTAAGCCGGTATTGAGCGTTAAAGTCTAGAGGACCTTGTATGGGGGTAGGGTCCATTATGGGGCGATTCTCGTAAATTATTTTTTTTTTTTTTGTTCATACAGGTCTTGTTTATGTTGAATTTCATCGCAGTACTTGTATTGTTAATATAGTAATGATTAACGCTTATTTTTTACAGGGATCGGTCAATTATGGACCGATCCTCATAGAATTTGGTAGAGGAATTTTGTCAAGCACAAAACTTATTTATGTCGAATTTCATCGCTATACTCGCATTTTTAAGCTAGTAATATTTTGAAGGAGACCTTATATGAGGGGTAGGGTCAATTATGGACCGATCCTTATAGAATTTGATAGAGGAATTTTGACAAGAACAAAACTTAGTCATGTCGAATTTTATCGCTATACTCGCATTTTTAAGCCAGTAATTTTCTGAAGGGGACCTTATATGAGGGGTAGGGTCAACTATGGATTGATCCTTATGGAATTTGGTAGAGAAATTTTGGCTCGCATAAAACTTATTCATGTCGAATTACATCGCTATATGGGTGTTAAAGTCATTTTAGAAGAAGACTTTATCCTCATAGAATTTGGTAGAGAAATTTTACCTCGCATAAAACTTATTAAGATCGCATTTCATCGCTATTCTCACGTTTTTAATCCAGTAATGAGCGTTAAAGTAATTTTCTAAATGCGACCTTATATAGGGGGTAGAGTCAATTATGAACCGATCTTCATAGAATTTGGTAGAGAAATTTTGGCTACCATAAAACTTATTCATGACGAATTTCATCGCTATACTCGCATTTTTAAGCCAGAAATGAGCGTTAAAGTCATTTTCGGAAGGGAACCTTATATGGAGTTTCCTATAAAATATATTCAAGTCGAATTTCATTGCTATAGAACTTCTTTTAGACAGTTATTAGCGTCAAAGTCATTTTCTGACAGATACTTCATATGGGATGTAGCCGATGCTTTTAAAATTTTAGTAGATTAAGGTTCCTATACATGTTATGAGCGATAAAGTAATTTTCTGAGGGAACCTTATATGGGGGCTAGTCGAAATCGTGGACCGATATTGCCCATCATATTTAATACCAAACAAACTGCATCAACATGAAATACACTATGCGACAAAAATAAATACCTGGAAAGTGATACTATTTTTCTGAAAGGTGGATCCGGGTATAACAAGAATATGTTTTTGAAATTTGCCAAACACCTCCAAAATCTTGAGTTATGGATAAAAAAACCAGTTTTTCGCACCTTTATGCACTTATGAGTCAGTAATTAAGTTGAATCCGAACCGATTTAAAATTTCTCCACGAATTTAGAAAGCAGAAGCTGAGGCCTTTATAATTACATATATAACGTTTAAGTAACCTGGAGAGATATGTGTGAGTTTCACCAGCAAACATATTTTTTATGTAAGCTTTGCACCGTTGTCCAAGTTTGGAGATGTTTTATGAAAGTATTTTATATAGGAACCGTACCATTTATTAACTGAATAGAAATCCATGTTTATTCATGAGTAAAACACAACTTTGTTTTTAAAAATCCGTTATCAATTGACAACGTTATTGGTCTTTTTCTTAAATCAAAATTGTTCAAAAACTGATTTCTGAAGGATGCTTTATGGGGGATGTGGTTAAATATGGGCCGACGGATATGGCTAGAACTAATGTTGGATTTTCGGTGGGAACATCAGCGACTTCCACATTGGGATCACCCATTTTGTAATGTTCGATTGTACTTTCGATCTCCGTTTTTATTTGTTTAAGTGTTTGTATGCATATCGGAAATTCCGTTTTTATTTTAGTAGAAATTGGAAAAATCGGTTTTTCACCTCAAAACTTCACAGCCGTTGCGGCATTTGTGCACTTTATCCTATTAGCAATCTACAATTCTAGATTGAGGAGGCGGGGATTTTTCATTTTGTCGTAATTTTTTTTGCTTCATACAGGCTTGGAACACTCTAAGCCCCACTGAAAAATTGTGCATGTATAAAGCCTTGAAGATATAATTAACTACTTATTGAACTGAAAAGCAATAATGGGTGTGGATCCTCTCATATGAACTAAATAATAATAGTCGTATATCTGGGTTTGACATTCTTATAATCATTCAGGTAAAAAATTGGCAGCCTAGCAACAGTGGGCAAGGTACTTCCTCTATGCAGTAAATATTAAAATCAGAATATCTGGGAAACTGGGATAGCTACAGTCTTAAAATTTTTTAAAATTAAGAACGTTTGCAGTATAATTATAAAGAACAAATGTAGACCAGTAATAGTGGACGTTACACTCTCCATTAAGAACTAAATTATGTATGTCTATCTGGAAAACTATAACAGCTAGAAGCCTTAAATTTTGTACAGATAATCATCTTTATATATACAAATTAATGTTTGTTTGTATGTATGTTTGTTTGAAGTCTATAGCCGCCTAAACGGCTAAACCGAATTTGTTGAAATTTTCAAAGTGTGTTCCTGTATGCCTGGAAGTAAAAATATGCTACTTTTTATTTTGAAATTTCAAGTGGGCGAGGTGCCACACCTACTTTCTAAATAACTATTAAAAGACGTATATCTTGAAAACTGGTGCAATAAGAGTCCTCAAATTTTGCACGGACAACTTTGACATCCTTAAAATATTTTTGGACAAAATGGGCGGAATGGCTATAGTGGGCGTGCCACCTTCCATATTAAGAAAATATTAAATGAGTATATCTCAGAAAATATAACAGTTAGAGTTCTCAAATTTTGTCGGAGCCACTTAAGTTTCAATATGATTATTTAGGATAAAAAGTGGGCACACTATCAGTAGGAGGCGTGTCACCTCCCATATTAATTAAATACAAAAATTCGTTTATCTTGGAAACTATTAGAGTTAAAATTTTCAAATTTTGTATGAAGAACTTTAACATACATGTAAACATTTTTGGTAATAAATTGGCTGACTACCAATGGGGGAGCGGTACCTTCCATATGAATTAAATACAAAAAAACTTTTATCTGGGAAACTAATAGAACTAGATTCTTAAAATTTTGCACTAAGGTCTTTCATATTCATTTGAACATTTTGAGGGAAAAAAGCGGACTTTCATCAGGGTATATCTGAGATACTATAGAAGCTATTTTACATGAAGAACTTTGTCATTCATGTGAACATTTAGAGAAAAATGGGCGGACTTTCAATGGGGGATTTGGCCTCTCCCATATGAATTAAATACAATATAATACTATTCACATTTTTCATAGCTTACATTAAAATCCTTATTAGCGTTCGGAAAAATTGGCGAACTTGCAATAATTTGCGTGGCATCTCCCATATGTAAGTGTTTTTTTTTAATTTATATTGCTTTTAGAGTAGCAAAGCGCACTGGGTATAGCTAGTATTTATATAAAAATATTTCAAAACATTTCAAATAAGTAAATTAAATAGAAACATTCGATTTTTTCACAAGGTTTGCAAACGTTATTGCTAAGCTATCGTTACCGCAAAAAAATCTTTTCAGCACAAATACCGTTGCCGAAATAAGTCAACATACCAATATTGCTGACATACCATTACATATATTCTATTCACAAAGGAGTTAATATTCAAAAACGGTAGAGTTCCAAAAAAAACCATTACCGCTAAAATATCGTTTCCGAAATAAGCCAAAATATCGATAACGTTAAAAATTCAATACCGAAATAAACGAAAATACCGATAACACTAAGCCAAAATACCGTTACCGAAATAAGTTTAAATACCGATACCGCTATCTTTACATCATTTCGAAACGGTTGCCAACCGATCTTTTTCATAAAATTTAAAAATTTTTTTGACGTTAATATTTGGTGATCTAGATCAAAGGATAAAAAGGTGTGTTTTTAAGATTTTTATGATTTTTTCCACATTTCTTAGACAGAATCTCTATGAAATTTTGGTATCATATGAAAGGTCTTCAAAAGGTACTTTTAATGTTATATCAAACATTTAATGTATTAAAATCAAAACATTTACGAAATATTTAATTTTTTGTAAAAGTTTTAAGTTTTTCAAGGTTTTACATAGCATTATTTGGTGTAAGTAATTGAGCGCATCTCGAAGACCTTTATCATTCCTTTGCGTAAAACATGAAAAATATTGGAAAAATATTTTAACCTTTTGGTCTAGCTTTCCAAATATTGACCCCAGAGCAAACACTTTGTTCAGCGGTATCTTAGAATAAACAAATTTTCGGTGGGAATATCAGAACCTTATTTTTTGTCCACACAAACGGGACAAACCTAATATACATATACATACATATATCTCCATATAACAATTATAATAGAAAATTTTATGCATACCGTTATTACATACATTTAAATTCTGCTCTACCACCAGCCTCAACTAAATTAATTCCAGGCATTTGATTTCGCCCATTACTGAGGAAGCGTAAAACTATAATCATCCAGAAGATAAGACATTTTTGTTTCTTTTTATATTAGATTTTCCATTTATTTTCATTGTTTTCGTTTATAGCAGTTTTTGTCGTATTTTATACATTAACCCTTATGATGCGTCTGGAGCCTGGACGATTGTAGAATCGGCGCAAACGACGTCTGTTATTCAAACGGTTGCGTTTACGTCTTATACGTTGCATGCGGCGACGCATACGTTTTTCACGGCGGCGTCTATTCTCACGACGTTTCCTGTTGTTACGGCGCATAATGCGGCGACGGCGACGAGCCATCTTACGACGACGTTTTTGTTGTTTCTGCAATTTCTTTAAATAGGCACGTCTGCGCTTGGCTGCTTTGCGTCTGCGATATAGTAATTGTTGGCGGCGTCTTTGGGCGCGTTGCATAGCACGTCGTTTGCTTTGGTATCTAGAGCGTTGTAATCGGTTGCGACGTTGCCTCATAAGCCTACGTTGGCGATTTCTTTCACGACGACGTTGTTGCATTTGACGACGACGGCGCTGTTCCATGCGACGTCTCCACTGTGAAGGGCTGGCACGAGCAGCACGACCAAGTTCAGTTAAGTCATCAATATCTTCGGAGTTAGCATTCTTATTCATTAGTAAGCGATCTTCTCTATTATCATACTCATCATCGTTATATTCATCATCGTCATAATCGTCAAGATGTATGTTGATTAAGTTGCGTGGTTCATTCTCACCACCTTCTGTTTCCTCACCACCTTCTGTTTCCTCACCACCTTCTGTTTCCTCACCACCTTCTGTATCCTCGCCACCACCGCCTTCTGTGTCTTCGCCTCCATCTGTATCATCTTCAGCTGGATCATCTTCAGCTGGATCATCTTCAGCGGGATCGGAACCATCAGCTGGAGGTCCTGCTGGTGGTTCTGGTGGAGGTGTTGCTGGTGGTGTAGCTGGTGGTGTAGCTGGTGGTGTAGCTGGAGGTGTAGCTGGAGGTGTAGCTGGGGGTGTAGCTGGAGGAGTAGGTGGAGGTGTTACTGGTGGTGTTGGTGGAACCATAGTTGTAGGTGTTGTAGGAGTTGTGACTGTGGGAGGAGTTGTTACACCTGTTGGAGTTGGTGGTGTTGTTGGTGGTGTCATAGTCATTGTAGTTGTAGTTGGAGCAGCAGTAGTAGTAGTAGTTGTTGTACCCTTTAATGCATTAAATTTATTCATCATGGCAGTTGTAAAACGTCCCTGTGCAGCAACATGTTCATAACGTCCCACCGATTTAACCCTGCCCCCGAACAACTTATAGCGATTGCGAGCGTTTTTGCCATGTCTGGCATCTGTAAATATACAAGATATAATACCAATATCAAGTTGTGTCAATTAAAACATTTTAATATATGAAAACCTACCGGCAGTTTGCAGTACTATTGCTGAACATAGCAACAGCACAAACGTGAAACACTTCAAATTCATAGTTATTTAGTAAGGAAAACTTGATCTAGATGTTTTTCTTCAAGATTAGTTTACTTTAGCAAATGATGGACAAACTTGAAGATTCCCCAACAGGATTGAATGTTGGGAATTGACTGATGATTAGAATAATTCTGCAACTATTTTATATACAATTTCGAATATAGCATTTTGACAGCTTAGAATGCTAAATTTTCTAATCACTCTTTCTTTTGACTAATGTATTTTTTCTCTAAGAAAAGATGATTGATTTTTCATAACAACATTCACCCCTCCAGCATGTCAAAGTTCCATACAGCGTAAAATATTAAATCACCTTAAATTACTAATGAATCGACGCAATTTTACTAATCTTTTGCAAAAAAAAAAATATAGGCAACGAAAAAGAAAGATGTTAAATCGATGATACCGATATTTTCATTTCTAAAAATGAAAAATTAGCAGAAACATTCATCAAAACATCAAATTGTCAGACAAATCACTCAGTTAGGTTTTTAGTTACTTATTATTTTGTTAATATACATACAAACATAACCGTAAGATATGTATGTACATAATAATAGTTAGTTTAAAACTCTAATATTTTTTGACGCTAGAGTGAAAAGAACAATAACAAAAGGTAAAAACTCCCGCGGCTAAATTTTACTGTCACTACTCTTGACCCCGACGTTATTCACTTCAGAGAATCATCACAAATTAAGAGAGGCAGAGATTGATTGATATTGATTAATGATCTTCATTTTTCTTTCGTCTAAGTAGTTATTTTCAATAACTCAAAGAAAGAAATCTAATATTTAAATAAAGTTAATATTATTGTTTAGAGGTTTTTATGAAGAAGTTACTGTGACGGAAAGGACCGTATTTCAAAAATAGCAAAATTTAAATACTAAAGATTATCGGAAAGTACCTGCATACGAATTTAAGCTACTGTTTGAAAAGAATACGAAATTCAATTTCTTCGCGTTAATAAAAGGAATTATCCTTTTTATACATTTTCTAGTGAATTACAATGGAACATTTTCAAATATACTTTAAGAAAACGATGTTCGCTTTAAATTCGAGTGCCAGATCCAGACTGGATGCCTAATTAGTCACGGTGTTTAATGTTAAAAATAAATTAAACTTGTTCAAGTTAGTTCAGTATCACACATAGGAAAACTGTTGCGATTAACTTTCAAGATTAGGAAAAGTTCATTTATGTATCTTAAGAACCATTTTATGCCATAGTAAGGTAGAGTCCCAATAAATGTTCGAGTTTGGTAAGGAAGTTTTGCAAAAGGTATCGTTTTGTGTGAAACTGAAATTTTCAAAAAGTTTTGTACTCCAGACAGAGAAACGAGCAATAAATGCATTGTTTTGATAAAAAAAATATTTGTCTAAAAACTGCGATCGGTCAGATAATACTGATTTGTTAATAAAATGTGCGGAATTAATCGCTTTGCAATGCTATATATCCATGTCCTCTTTTTATTTTGTAGGAGATCTAACTCCAAAGAACTAGCCATGATAGCCTGCTTTTTTCTTTTTAAAAAATAAGTTAATTTTAGTGGAAAAAGGTAGATTTATATTAATGACAAAAAGTAGATTTATATTAATGAAAAAAAAAAAAATAAATTGAATGCCCTTTGTTCCCTCAAAACCGCGTCCTTTCACGGATAATTGTTTCATGACATGTATGCTCCCTATGTTAGTTAGTTAGTTAGTTAGTTTGTTAGTTTGTTAGTTGGTAGTTGTTAGTTAGTTAGTTATTAGTTAGTAGTAGTTAGTTCGTTAGTTAGTTAGTTAGTTAGTTAGTTAGTAGTTAGTTAGTTAGTTGTAGTTAGTTAGTTAGTTAGTTAGTTAGTTAGTTAGTTAGTTAGTTAGTTAGTTAGTTAGTTAGTTAGTTAGTTAGTTAGTTAGTTAGTTAGTTAGTTAGTTAGTTAGTTAGTTAGTTAGTTAGTTAGTTAGTTAGTAGTTAGTTAGTTAGTTAGTTAGTTAGTTAGTTAGTTAGTTAGTTAGTTAGTTAGTTAGTTAGTTAGTTAGTTAGTTAGTTAGTTAGTAGTTAGTTAGTTAGTTAGTTAGTTAGTTAGTTAGTTAGTTAGTTAGTTAGTTAGTTAGTTAGTTAGTTAGTTAGTTAGTTAGTTAGTTAGTTAGTTAGTTAGTTAGTTAGTTAGTAGTTAGTTAGTTAGTTAGTAGTTAGTTAGTTAGTTAGTTAGTTAGTTAGTTAGTTAGTTAGTTAGTTAGTTAGTTAGTTAGTTAGTTAGTTAGTTAGTTAGTTAGTTAGTTAGTTAGTTAGTTAGTTAGTTAGTTAGTTAGTTAGTTAGTTAGTTAGTTAGTTAGTTAGTTAGTTAGTTAGTTAGTTAGTTAGTAGTTAGTTAGTTAGTTAGTAGTTAGTTAGTTAGTAGTTAGTTAGTTAGTTAGTTAGTTAGTTAGTTAGTTAGTTAGTTAGTTAGTTAGTTAGTTAGTTAGTTAGTTAGTAGTTAGTTAGTTAGTTAGTTAGTTAGTTAGTTAGTTAGTTAGTTAGTTAGTTAGTTAGTTAGTTAGTTAGTAGTTAGTTAGTTAGTTAGTTAGTAGTTAGTTAGTTAGTTAGTTAGTTAGTTAGTTAGTTAGTTAGTTAGTTAGTTAGTTAGTTAGTTAGTTAGTAGTTAGTTAGTTAGTTAGTTAGTTAGTTAGTTAGTTAGTTAGTTAGTTAGTTAGTTAGTTAGTAGTTAGTTAGTTAGTAGTTAGTTAGTTAGTTAGTTAGTTAGTTAGTAGTTAGTTAGTTAGTTAGTTAGTTAGTTAGTTAGTAGTTAGTTAGTTAGTTAGTTAGTTAGTTAGTTAGTAAGTTAGTTAGTTAGTTAGTTAGTTAGTTAGTCAGACAACAACATTAACTAACATCCCGATGGAACTCACATGTAATCAACGATATGCATCGATATTCTGTTAAAAAGTGATAATTCCAATTGATTTTCACTCACAACCAAATATTTTTAAATTTTGAAAAAAAAACTCTTCTGCAATTCTTATGTTTCTTTAAATGATTTATAATTTTATTCAATAAATAAATTAAAATAAATAACTTAAACTAAGTCCTAAAATTTAAAGGATATCCCTTACTGCTGTGTACCCTCAGCAGGCTGTTCGGCTTGTTGATTGGATTGAGCAACAGGTTCAGCCATTTCGTTTTCTGGTTTCTTATCATCGTTGGCCATCAACATTTCATCGCCTTCTGACTTGCGAGGCTTATTGCTATCGCGTTGACTATTTCTCTTCTTGTTGGAACGGCGACGTTTGCGACTATTTCTGGAACGCAAATTGCGCTTGGCGGAACGGTAACCACGGTTGCGGTTGCGAGATCTGCGGTTACGGTTATTGCGGCGTCTTACTCCACTACGTCTTGTTTTTCTACGATTGCTGTTTCTGCGCTTGTTGCTCTGAGTGCGACGGTTTCTTCTTCTGTTTTTTACTTTTGATTTCTGGGAAGATTTGCGTCTTAGAGAGTGCTTATTTTTCGAATTGCGATGAGTTGATTTTCTGCGATTAGCAACATGCTTATTGCGATTTGTACGTTTGATCTTGTTCTTAGTTTTGCGCCTGCGTACACGTTGACGTCTGCGTATGGCACGCTCTTCTGCAATAGCATCCTCTTCTTCATCTTCGTCTAAGTTTTGGAATTGGCGTACGTTGTTGCTTCTGGCTAAAACGTTGGCATTGTGGAAGCTTCTCAAGCTGCGAGCTAGGCGTTGCTGTTAACATATTTAATGGTTTCAAAAATTAATTATTGTGTTATTAAGTTATATTTGTAAATGGTTCCTACCATCTCAGGTTGTTCTTTAAAAACAGCAACATCTTCCTTGGCTATAACTTCCTCTGCAGCGGACTTTTCCTCTTCTGTTTTTTTGTCATTGTCTTCCACATCGGCAGACTTTTCTTCTTCCTCTTGCATATTATCGTTTTCATCGTCATCATCGTCATCACTGACAGATTTTTCAGTTTCCTGCATGTTGTCGTTTTCATTGTCATTCTCATCATCTTCATTGACAGAAACTTCTTCAGTTTCTGCATCTGCATCTTCGTCATCTTCAGCTTGTTCCTCGGCATCATCTAATGACATGTCATTTTTGGTTTCCACCTCGTGGAGAAGTTTATTTTCAATGACTTTTTCATCGTCATTTTCTAGAACAGCACTTTGTACTTCAACTTCTAAAGAAGTTATGGAGAAATTAAGAAAATACTTATATTTAGTACAAGTTGTTTTAAGTCGTGTCGATATAATGTTTACCTGCATTAGCTGTTTGTATTAATAACAAGGCACTCAAGGCCAATAACAATATCCACAAAAATTTCATTTTGTTAATGAAATTTTTTTAACGAGTAAAAAAATACACACTGCTGCCGAGTTTCCTTGTGGAGTCTGGAGTATAAACTCGTTAACAGCAAAAACGTTATGTGCTGAAACAGCATGAAAACTAGCATTTATATCGCCATTTGTAAACTCTTTTAGCCATGTATTACTAAATCAGCCATTAACATAATGTGGCCAGACGATTCTATTAATTGTTGTTTGAATAGATGAAATATGGAAATTTTAGCCAAATTCCGATGTGTATTTATGAGAATCGTTATGAGATATGAAGAAAGTTGACTATTTAATATGTTGATCATAATTTAACAATAAAAATTCGCTAACCTTTGGTAGAGATTTTGTTAGTGTTGGTTTTTCTAAGCTGAAGTTTTTGTTTTTGCCAATGACCTCATGAACTTTCTCTTCTCCCAAAAAAAGAAAGAAACTCTATTGTATTTTTTGGATAACAAAATTGTGTATTTGTACATTTTGTTTATTATTTATTTTTTTGATTTATTTTATTGTTTCATTCGTAAGCTTAAGCATAGTGTGATCGAGTAGAGTAAAAAATAGAAGAGACTAAAAACTAGGTAATACTACGTAAAGTCTAAGAGGAGTAGTCATTACATGGAACTCTAACCTTGTAGAGAAACACGACGACGATTCACACGGCGTTTGTTTCCGCCACGGCGGTTGCCACGACGATTACCGCGACGTACTACGCGTACATTTTTGCGTCTGTTGTTGTTAATGCGACGGCGCTTATTGCCACCGCGCTTGTTTACAACACGTCTATTTACAACACGT